CAAGACATCTGACATGTATACTCAACGTGAACCCAAATGGCACAACACGAGCCAACAATTATCACCTTATGTTATAGATCCGGATGCATCCTATTTAACAGAAGTTATAAAATCATTGTTGTTGTTCTTGTTGGATGCTCATTGTTTACTAAAACCTCTGACTCTGTGTGTATGTGTGTGTGCAGTCCACTCATCAACATATAGAGGATCATGGTCTTCAATGCACATAGTAGCAGGTAGCTTCAACAACTGCTTTTTTTTAACTCTATATCATCATCAAAAAGTATACAGTAAGTTATTTTATTCTTTTTAATTAAATTCATAACACTATATTATATATAGTAATGAGATCATTGATGTGAAGGAAAATGACTTTCTCTTCTTTCTTTCATTACAATGATTTCCTCACATTTTCTAGATGGCATTAAGAAGAATGCATAAATATTTGTTACTGTTATTTTTAATGTTTGATTGTTCTTCTTTCATTTGAGCTTATTGTAACCGACTCTTCTGAACAAAAAATTGTAGGGGTTTTGCTCTATATGATTATATGGATGACATCCTTCCCGAGTTGAATAAAAAATCGAAATTCGGCATCCGGTGCATTACCCTCGGTTTAAATTGTTGCAAGCAACTGTGTTGACAGTTGCATATGTTACACAAGATTGCAGAGAGAGAGAAAGAAAGAGAGACTCGACAATTTGTAACAAGATTCTCGACAAATTGGGATTTGAAATTAAGTAACAGACACATTACTCTAATTATAACGAAAGAATTTTGTTACAGTTCTTATTTTAGATTATTAGTAGTGCAGCGTAATAGTATAATTGCTCATAATGTCAGTTTATTATAAATAAGAGTGTAAGACAATATTTCCGATGCATTGATTATTCTCTTTCTCTCTTCTTTTTGCCTCTCATTCTTTTTCTTATTTACAAATTTTAATATCATCTTTACAACTTTAGTTTGGTATCAGAGTATTAATCCGATCTTACATATTTTTAGAAACATTGTAGACAATCTCGACTAGGATCGGGATTCAAGTAATGATGTAACAATTAAACACATATTTGTATAAACTCTTGTCCTATTTGATGAAATTCAAAGTACTAGTTCATCTTTTATTCTTGAATCAAGTGATCATCAATATTTCTTCTCCTATAAGTGAAGTGTTGGTGAGAAAAGATATATTCCAATAATTTAAAAAAAAAAACATTGTGCCCAAATTTTTACATAAAATATTTAAAATTGAAGAATATTCAATAAAAAAATTATTGAACAAAGCATCAATTATGTGAGAGCTCCAGCTCAAACACCTAATTTTTTTATTTTTTTTGTGTATCTTCATTCAATTCAACGTTTGATTTTAAACAACACTATTAATTTTTAATTTAATTTAGGATGCAATATAAAAATCTTTTAAGTCTTCATCTTTTTTCAAATTTTTTAGAAAATTGTTCACACGGTACAACTTTATTGACTTGTGGAGCCTTATTATAACTTCCCATCTATTTCTAAGAATTAAACACTTTGGAATAAGTGTGTATTCTTAACTTGCAAGTTGTGTCATATTGTAAATAGATAAACGTAAGTAACCAATTTTCAAGTGTATATCATAGTAGAACTTATGGCATCAACCTAATAATTTGAAGCCTTTTGGATGGAAGATGATTAGTGTGAGGAGGCAATTAAAAAGAGTTGGGAGAAAGAGTGGCATGGTCATGTATTGCTTGGAATGGCTAAGAGGCTGGAAAAGTGTGGGAAAGATCTTAAAGTTTGGAGTAGTCTGAAATTTGGCAACGACAGAAGAATTTTGGCAGAGTCAAATGAACGTTTGTTAATGTTGCAAATGTTGGAGGCGTTGGAGGACAATCTCAGGAAAGAGATGGAGATAACTTCTGAGATGGATGACATTAGAAGAAGAGATGAGCTATTTTGGAAACAAAGATCAAGGATTACCTGGCTTGAGTCTAGAGATCAAAATGCAAGATTCTTTCATCTTACCACTTTACAGAGAAGGCAACGTAACCAAATTCTGAGGCTGCAGACAGAAGAGGCAACTTGGATTGATGGTGAGGAGGAGTTGAATACTCACATCAAACAACATTTTCAGCATCTGCTCTCTACAGTGGGACAAAGAGACTTTGTTGAGGTTTTGGGGTTTGTGGAAGAAAAAATTACTGAGGAGATGAATCTACAACTGTTAAGGCCAATTATGTATGACGAGGTTAAGATTGATGCTTTTGAGTTGGGGGCTCTCAAGGTCCCTGGTTCTGATGGCTTCCCAGACATTTTTTTACAAAGGTATTGGCATATTGTTGGGGATGATGTGGGCAGTGTTGTAAGGAATTTTTTTGAGGAAGGATACATGCTCAGAGAACTTAACATGACAAATATTGTCCTCGTTCCAAAGGATGTTTCGCTTGAACTCATTTCCCAATTCTGACCTATTGCGCTCTGCAACTTTTTGTAAAAGATTATTTCAAAGGTCTTGCTCAATCGAATGAAAGGTTTGATGTCGTTCATTATTTCACCCCAACAAGCGGCTTTTATTCCTAAGCGACAAATTCAAGATAGTATTATTATAGCTAATGAGGCCCTTCACTACATGAGACTGAAAAAGAAAGGAAATGTACTAGATTTAGCAATCACAATGGAAATTAGCAAGGCTTATGATCGCATTGAATAGGACCTTTTTGGAGGTTGTGATGCTTAAATTGGGTTTTCACTAGCAATGGGTGCAGCTTATTTGTCAGTGTGTTTGTACTGTTTATTTTTAGATGATTATTAATAGGGAAAAGAGGTGTGTTTTCCATCCATAGCGCGGTATTTGACAAGGCAACCCTCTCTCTTCTTATTTGTTTATCCTTGTTGCTGATGTCCTGTCTTCTATGTTGCAAAAAGGAGTGGAAGAGCAAAGATTCTCAGGTATTAAAGTCCGTAGAGGAAGTCCAACTATATCTTGTTCTTTGTGAATGATTTTTTCTTTTTTTCTTAAAGCAAAGGAGCAAGGAATTCTTAACGTTATGATTATTCTGGAACAATTCTGCTGAGCCTCTGGACAATGTCTCAGTCATAAAAAATCAGGTTTCATTTGTTCTGCCAATGCAACATAAGTTCATATGTCTCAGTTTGGTTATTTGTTGGGTTTGAAGCCTTTGGGTCAAAGGATAAAATATTTGGGTTTGCCTAGTTTGTGTGGTAATTCAAAGAGCGCGATGTTTGGTTTTCTTTTGGAAAGGATTCTTAAGAAGCTTTAAGGGTGGAAGAGTTTGTTCCTCACATAGACCAGTAATGAAGTGTTGACATTCATCCAAGTGATTCCCAACTATGCTATGTCCGTCCTTGCATTTCCAAAGAAGTTTTGTGAAAAGATCAGTCGGTATGTTCAAAACTTTTGGTGGGGAGGAGGAGGAGGAGGAGAAACGAGAGGCATCAGCTGGAAACAATGGGATTTGATGGTTGAAGCAAAAGCACGGGGAGGTATGGGTTTCAAGGATTTTTATCTTTTTAATCAGGCTTTACTGTTGGAGACTTATTCAGTATCCAAATTCTTTATGGGCAAGATTTCTTAAGTCAATTTATTTCCCAGAATGAGACTTTATGAAGGCTAAGAAGGGAGCGAGACCATCTTGGGTTTGGAATAGCCTCTTACAGGGAAGGGATTTGTTAGACAAAGGTCTTTTTTGGGAAGTCTTAACTAGCAATGATGTTAATATTTGGGAGGATAAGTGGATACCCTGTTTTGATGATGGTTCAATGTTGTCTCCTTAGCCCCATGATTGTAATTTTGTATGGGTTAATTAGCTACTCTACCAACAATCAAAGGAGTGGAATGCTGGACTGTTAAGGGAGCTTTTTAATGATCAAGAATGTAAGGTTATTTTAGCCACCCCTATCCCAAAGGTCCCAAGTGTAGATAAGAGGATTTGGAGATTGAGCCCCCATGGCATTTACTCAATTAAATCAGGTTATTCTTTTGCTATTAACCTCCATCCTCGCAATATTATGGCTCTGTCTTCTTTTTTTTTTCCTCATTCAAAATTTTGGTATGTTGTCAGACATATGAAGGCTCTTCCGAAAGTTAAACATTTTTGGTGGAGAGTTTGCAATAACGCTTTGGCTTCGCGAGAAAATTTATAAGATTGGAGCTGGGTCTATCTCTGTCCGTTCTTCAGTGGGTCTCATCTTTGTTGGATGACTTTAAGGATATTCTTTTTTTGCTTGTGATTACGGGGAAGATTGCAACGATTGCATGGGCTCTTTGGAATTCCAGAAATTATTTTGTTTTCCAGTAGGAAGTTCCTAATGCCTTTGCCACATTGATGAGAGCCAAGAATATGTGGAGTGAGACATTTTTGCTGATAAGGGTCGGTAGGGTGGTCATCAGGATTCAACGATTCCTCACCATGTTCAACACCCAGGCCATTCTCCTTTTTTTTGGTTGAGCTGTGATGGTGCCTTTTAGTAAGATAAAGCTGCTATTGCGGTGCTCTTGAGGGGATCCAATTTGGCTTTGCTGGAGGGTATTGCTAAAAATATTCTTGCGGTTTCTAGCATGTTCTCTGAAGTAGCTGATGTTAGAGAAGCCTGTCTCCTGGCTTCAGTCCTGGAGCTCCATCAAGCAACCATTGCAAAGTGATAATTTGGAGCTTATTAAGGTGAGTTCGATTGAAGATATTCCACCATGGGAGATATGTATTTTTATTGGTGATATTCGTCACTTCTCTAAGGTTCTTAATTTATATTTTTTACACAAGCTTAAAACTTTTAATCGAGCAGTTTATTGAGTTACAGCTAAGGTTTCATCAAATTCAATCCCATTAAGTTGGGTGCGCCGTTCCCCTTTTGAACTTAAGACTTTATTATTTTTTTATTGTAAGCGTACTTTTCTTACATAAATGATATTTTTACATATTTTTATTGTTCAAAAAAAAAAAAAAAATAATTAGTCCAACATAAGTGTACAAGTAACACGAACATAGCCCATGACATATAATCCGTGGAACCTTCCCAGAACTAGTTTTTTCTGTCGTGTATGACCGTTTTAAACAAAGGGCTTGTGCTACACAGCTATGGGCTACACTCTCAAGCACTCAATTTTAACGCGCTAAACTTAATGACCCCACGCGGAATACCAAAGTTGACGATGAAGGCATGCATAGGATACCAAACAAAGGACAAAATGTTCTCATACAGAATAGTATAGTACCTCTGTCTTGTCATGTGGCCCCACATCTGACTATCCCACCACCGGATAGTTGGTCTCCGCTTGACTTGGGTTAGACTTGGGTCGCCGAATGTAAATTTTCAAATATCCTTTCTTGAAAAGTTATTTTATTATTAATTATGAAAATTAATAAATTAATACACAAAACATGTGACAATATAGTATTGGTTGAAAAGTTGAGGTATAATACCAAAAAATTATTATTATTATTGTATGGAATTGAACCCATAAATTTTATTTGAAAAATTAATTATAAATTACTAGATAAATTGCTGCTTAGTTATTAATTAATAGAGAAGACACCAAATTACTCCTCTCCCTTTATTTTATACTAGGGGCATTTGAACATGATAATTGTGTGTCGGATTACAAAAGAATAAGATATATATAAAGAAGTATATATCATGAGATACAGAACGACATTCGTATCAGAGTGTGATGTGTAATTATAAAATAGTAAAACACCGAGACATTGAATCGGTCCTAGAGTCATGATATGAGGAAGTTTTCCATGCAGATTAAAAGAGATCCGCGGGCTGAACATTGAACACAATGTAGTGATGTAGTAGACCCAACATGACTTGATGTATTAGATAAATGATTATATACACTAGTCGGTTATATCAAGACTATAATGCAATCCCATGAAATTTGAAAAAAGATATTGTCCTGATTGACGAA